AGCTGTGGCTGCTCCATCCCTGGAAGTGTTCAAGGCCAGGCTTGATGGGGCTTGGAGCCACCTGGGCTAGTGGAAGGTGTCCAGGCCCATGGCAAGGGAATGGAACAAGATGAGCTTTAATTTCCCCTCCAACCCAAACCAGTATGTGATTCTGTGATTCCAAACCTCATTCAATGGTTTAACTAGTAAATCCAAAATCCAGTGATCAGGAAATAAAAATATTAATGCTTGCATGGACAAACCCACTCTAAGTCTGCGGCACACCATAGCCCTCCAGACCTTTCCACCATGGGTTGTCTGAGCTCCAACAGGGGGGCTGCCCCCAGCCACACAGCTGGGGCTCCCCAGCCAGCTGTGCACATCTGTGGGAACTGTAATCTTGGCCACAAACCACAGCTCAGGGCTGGGTCAGGGTGTCAGGGCTGTGCTCGATGAAGCACTCACCAGTGCAAAACACAGATACAAACCCACAATCCCTCTGGGCCAGTTTAGTGGCTTTTAGTGGGTTTGCCTGGATGGCCTCAAAGCCTCAGCCATCACTGGGAAAACTTCTTCCCATCAGCACAGGCTCAGTCACAGCCCTCCCAGTGCCAGGACTGAGCAGGAGTTGGGATGAGGACTGGGGCCCCAGGGCTGCCAGGGAGCAGCATATTGAGTACCTACCAAGACACACAGTGGATCTACTCTCCACTACAGACACAGGCTGGATTTCACATTCCCTGTCTCCTCCATGAGCTCAGCAAGAACAGACAGGGAAACACACACCTCATCTTCCATGTGTGAAGCCTGAGTGACTCTGGGAATGGCACCAGTGACAAACCCACTGCCCTGCCTGCCTCTGCCCACCACAACTCATCTCCTCTCCCTGCAGCAAGAAAGAAAGGGTTCCCCCTCCTTAAAAATTGCCTTTCTCTAAAAAAAAATTCCTTGAACAAATGGCAGCAAATCCCAATGAGGAGCTGTACAATGGACACTTCAGTCTGCCCAGGGGAGGAGAGACAGGACCTTCAATGCCTAAATAAATGCAATTTGCTCGTTAAGAGGGGGCTGGGGAAGGTTAGGCAGAGGGGAGCCCTGGTTATTCACTTCCCCCAATTAACATTCCAGCGGCGCTGCTCTGCTTTCTAGGAACAATAACTTTTTGGGAAGGGGGAGTGATGCCCGTGGGGGTGTTGGATGGTCCTGGAGAAAGGAGACACGTCCGAGGGTGTGAGGGTCTGAGACTGTGTATGACAGGAACTGCTAAACAAAACCAAGACTAAATAGAGATCTACCTTATGCAAAAAAAAGCTGCAAAGTAAATCCCTGTGCATCCCTGGACCAAGATCATTTGCCTTTGCTGCTGATCTAAATACTTTTTCTGTGGCCAAGGCCTGTACAGAAAAGAGGTGGCTTGTCAGTGTTTGTTTGTAAAAGGTCTCCAAGTGCAGGGTGATTAAAAATATTTAGCCCAGACTTTGAGCCACATCATCCCCACAGCATCCTGCAGCCCCACAGCAGCTCACAGAACCCAAGGACCTTGACTCTGTGGTTTAAAATAAACCCAACCCTTATTCCCTCTGCTCTCTGCCAGGCTCTATCACCACCAGCCTAGGTTACAGGTGGGGTGGCTAGGAGGATGGGCAGAGGAGGGGGCTCCTGGGACAAAGTCTGACACCAGCAAAGCCGTGTGTATCTCTGTCTCAAGTGCTATAGGCCTGAAAAGAGCAGGCTTACCCTTGTAAAGCTGAAAGCAACCCTCAAAAAATGAACAGGTCCATCCGTATCCCATGGGTATATGTGCTGAGACATATCTATTTCAACACACCACAGTTTCCAAGGATTCCCATGAAAATCTAGCCCAAATAGACAGATGGCTAGAGCTCAGCATTCCCAGACACCACTATAAGCAAGAGCAGGGCACCCAAAAGCAGGAACCTGGCTGGACAGACACCCCCAGAGGGAGGACAAACATCCCCCCCAAAGGGAGGTCAGACACTGCTGACTGTGGAGCTCAGTGACATAATCTGTGGATGCCTGTGGCCACGGGTAGGTAAGGAAAACACTTTGATCTGCTGAACATGTCAGAAGTAGAAGCAGTTTGTTTTAGCCTGCAGGTGTTAAATCAGTGCATGAGCCCCAGGAGAACATCCACGGCTGACAGAGCTGACACAGTGTTCAGCTCCAGCTCAGTGTGTCCTGTCAGACAGACTCAGAGCAGGCAATGTCCAAGGATGCTGCAGTTACTAATTCACACACAGCAGTACTCAAGTTGAAGATTTGCAGTTTCCCCACTTGGCTTCTCAAAATGACAAAGCAGCTTTGCTGACTTACCAGGCATTGCATAATCACGTCAAAAGGCTCTCGGGTGTCAATGCCATCTCAGGAAGAAGATGGAATGATAGCAGAAGGGCCAGCATCTACCTGAGAAGGCACCTCATCACAGGCTCAGTACAGAAAGGTTGGGAATGCTTATGAGACCACCAGTGTTGTCACAGAATCCCAGAATAGTTGAGGTTGGAAGGACCAGAGGGGTCATCTGGTCCAACCTCCCTGCTCAAGCAGGGTCATCCCAGAGCACATGGCATAGTATTGCATCCAGACACTTCTTGACTATCCCTGGTGAGGGAGACTCCACACCCTCTCTGGGCAATCTGCTCCAGCACTCTCCAGAAGTGAAGTGAACAAAACATCACTCTGAGGCACTTGGTGAGAGCACACCAGAGCCACAGAGCAGCCAGAGGTCTGGAGAACCAGCCAGATTCACCTGTGGCCCTAGAGGTCTCCAGCATACCTCCCTGCTTCCTGCCCAAATCCTCCCCAGTCCTCCCTCCTCCAGAGAGTGAGCCCCAGCAAGGCTGGAGGTCTCACAGCCACCCCATCACCACCCTACCACAGTCGCTCTCAGCCCTCTGCTGTGACTGGGCTCAGACTGGAGATGCAACTGCAGCAGCAAGAGGAAAAACAGCTTTACATATGACAGGCAAAACCCTCTAAATAGTCAGTGCAGAGAGAGATAAATCTCCTTTTCTTTCCAGGAGATCAAGACCTGACTGAGCAAGTGGTGCACCTCCAAAGGCACCTTCCTCTGCATTGCAGCCTGGGCTTTCTCTGCCTCTGCAAGAGTTCCCTTGCAGAGATAAGGGTCAGCTTGCTGAACCTCACAAACTAGTCATTAAAAACATAAAACACAAGTAAGATGAACAAAATGCTAATAGGAACCCCCAGGTCAAACTGCCTCCCCTGTCACCGGGGCCCTCCTCTTGCCAGCACATTCCTGCCACTAATGAGGCCCCATCACTTCCTCCTCCCTGCTCAAGTTGCTCCTGGTGATGCAAATCCATCGTCTTTGTTTCTATTCTTGGAGTAAAAACAGAACCAAAGTAAATAGCAAAACAGCTCTTAGGTTTCAGGATCCTTTCTTTTTCCATCCTTCCCAACTGCAGCAAGGCTGTCAAGGCGAGGTGACACCCGACCCCAGACATCAGCTTGTTCCCACCGGAAATGCTGTGCTTAATCTTCAGCCTCAATGTTCCCTCTGAGATCACTGCCAGCTCCTTCCCTGAACCTCAGCCTCGCTGTGCTCACTGGGACATGTCACGCATTACCACAAACCTCCCAGTGAAGGAGAGAACACATGGAGAATCTGACAGGGACACTGATGGCAGAGAGCTCTCCCCATCCCCAGTTACCAGCAGACCTTCTGCCTTCCCTTCCTTTCCCCAAGGAATTGAACCAGCTTCAGGCTGTGCCCAGGCAGACCTCATGGAGCCCAGCGTGTTCCCACCTACAAGGGCATCGATGCACATGCACAGATGGGGAAAGGAAACAGAGCAGCACAAGCTGGACACATCAGCTCTCCCCCATGTCCCATGATGCAGGGTGACAACTGCCCTGCCACACTACACTGCTGGGGAAGCTGCTGAAGATCAGCTCTGCCTCAGAAGCTGCAGGAGGGGCAGATAAGGCAGTCTGTGTGCCAGAAGCAGCTCTGTTCAGACGTAGGTGCTGGTCTGTAACAATGTCCCCAAAGTCACTCCTTCCTCAGCTGAGGCCCTGGAACACCCAGCAGGCAGCAATCCCTACATTATGTGCTGGGACCCTGAGTGTCTGCCAGAGGGCAAGGTGAGATGGGATATTGGGAATGAATTCTTCCCTGTGGGGATGGTGAGGCACTGGCACAGGCTGCCCAGAATACCTGTGGCTGTGGCAGGGTAGGTTGGATATTAGGAAAAACCTCTTCCCTGTGAGGGTGGTGAGGCACTGGCACAGGTTGCCCGGAGAAGCTGTGGCTGTTCCATCTCTGGGAGTGTTCAAGGCCAGGTTGGATTGGGCTTGAAGCAACCAGGTCTAGTGGAAGGTCCATGACAGGGAATGGAATGAGATGCACTTTAAAGACCCTTCCAACCCAAACCATTCTGGGATCCCGTGATTTAGAGACTGAAAACTCAGATCTCTCCAGTGAGAAGAGGGATAGGTAAGGTGAAGCACTTCATCCAGAGATGGGGAAGAAAAGCAGAGCAGCTGCTCTTGCAGTGGGTATCGGTGCACGAAGTGCAGTGCTGCAGAGACCTCTTGCAGCACGCAGCTGCTACTGCATCCATACTCCAATACAGCAGAGCATCCCAGAGCTCCACAATTTCCAACGCAAAAAATGTTTTACAGCCCACTGCTGATTTACCCAGTGCATCCCAGGCAGGCTGCACCTGGAGAGGCTTTGCAGCATTCTGCTGATGGCATCCAGCACACACAAAGTACCACCTCCAGACAGCCACTACACTCAAGTGCTCCCAATCCTGCAGCTGAATCCACTTGCCAGATCCTTGAGTCTTTATGAAGCCACAACAGTGTCCCAAAGGGCTTATTCAGGCATATATACCTCCCTGCATGAAAGTGCTCAGAAGTGTTTAAATCTCAGGCTATCAAAGCCTTTTCTGTCCTAGCACTCTCCAAAGGGTAATGAAAGGCATTTTGGGGATTGGACAATTTGCTCATGAACCTGTGGCACTTGCCTTCCTCACATCAGGAAGACCCAAAGAGCTGCAGACTGTGTGTCTGAGTTGTAAGAGGACAGATTGCAATAATCAGATTTGCTGTCTGAGACCTGGGAAAGGAACAGCAAGAGGCCTGACAGGAAGAGCAGAGGAGCACACCTCCAAGAGAAACAAAAGGAAGGTCTGCAGGTGGACCAAGAGGCCTCGTGGTCAGCAGAGGATGGGATTTACTATGTCTGGTCTGAGCAGTGCCCAGCTATTCTTGCTGACAAACCACAGAAGAAAAGGAAATCAGGGTGACAAAACCCACCAGAGTGTGCACTTCGGGATTAACAGGAACAGCCTCAGCACACAGGACCCTTCTGACTGGATACAGAGGCCAGGAAGGACCTGGGCAGCAGACGTGTGGCCACTGCTACCATCACAGCCAGCTGTTGGGAGGGAGCAACCAGCCAAAGGCAGAAACTGCTCTGGGCCCCACCAGCACAAGCTTTGGTGTGCTCAGCAGGACGGAGCCATCCAAAAGCATTTAGTCCTCCATGGCCCCACCAGCACAAGCTTTGGTGTGCCCAGCAGGACGGAGCCATCCAAATGCATTTAGTCCTCCACGTAGCTGGACCATCACTAGCTGCAGCCCAAAGCATCTCCAGCCCACCCTGTGCCACTGAGACCCTCAGTCTGTGCTGCAGCACCAACCTGAAAACTCATTTGAGTTTCCAATTGTAAGACTCCAGTCCTGTGGCAGAGGAGGAATACTCCAGCTCACAAAATAATGTCTCACTTATTTTAAATCACTGTGGTTATTTTCTTCTTTCACACCAATTCTACATACCAAAGGACACAGTGCACATTTTTAGTGAGTCTCGCTTGGAGAAGCAGAGTAAAATTGGAAGTTGGCAAAGGACTCTGCTCTCCTCCTCCTCAGTCCTGCTGCTCTCTGAGCATTTGCTGTTCCTCATGCAGAAACAAAACACTAAAGCATCGGAAGCTAGAAACCTCACAGAATCCTAGAATGGTTTGGGTGGGAAGGGACCTGAAAGCTCATCTTGTTCTGGACTCTGCCATGGGCAGAGACACCTTCCACTGGACCAGGTTGCTCCAAGTCATGTCCAAACTGGCCTTGGACACTTTCAGGGATGGGACAGCCACAGCTTCTCTGTGCCACCTGTGCCAGTGCCTCACCACCCTCACAGGGAGGAATTCTTTCCCAATATCCCATCTAACCCTGTCCTCTGGCAGTGGGAAGTCATTCCCCCTCATCCTGTCTCTGTCAGCCCGTGGGATCTCCTTCTACCACTCCCCAAGTCAGCCCTGCACTTTGCAGCATCTCCACCCCTGTGCAGCTGGACCAGGCTCTCCTCCCCGGAGCAAAGCCAGCAGAGGGAGCAAACACTGCAGCTTTCAGGGAGAGTGTGGCAGTTTTCCTAGTGGTTGGTATATTTTGAATCTAGAGGTTATCTCCTAGTAGTTTGAATCAGTTATTTGCAAAGCTCCAAGTTAGGCCCAAAGCCAGCCTACATCTTCTTTTGGAAAAGCCCTGAAAAAATGATATATAGTTCTCACTAATACCCACCCTACAATGCAGAATTGAAATCAAACCCAAAGTCAGCAATAAAACCCTTCCAGATTCAAGCTCAGGGGCCCACAGCTCCTGCCTGTTTCTTTTAGAGCCCTGTGCTGTCAGCCTGCCCAGCAGCAGGGTCCATATCACTTACAGCAACCAGGAGAGGCTTCACCCACCCCAACTCACCCAGTTCATGCTCTTTGTCACAGACACCTGGTCCCAGATGGCCTGTGACAAAGTGGGATGTGTCACACTGTCCACACACCCCACCAGATCCCTCTCTCTACCAGCCCAGCAGGGAGTGGTCCTCACAAAACTGCCCCCACTAATTCCTAATTCCTCCCACAGGAGATATCTCCCTTTGCATGGGAATGCTGAGAGCAGTCCCACAGCATGCTCTCCTCTTCCCAAGCCATCTCTGTTTTACTACAGGCACCACAAAGCATCTGCTGGGACGTCACAAGCTGCTGTGTTTTGGTTTGGAGCATTGCTGTGCCAGTTCACTCCCACACTAATCTGCAAACTGGGGTGACTCCCAGGGACTGCTCCGCTGCCTGTCACATTATTTATCAGGATTGGGGGTTTTTTTATGCTCAATGAACAACAGTTGGCAAGTGAGCAACGTGCCAAGGAGGGGCTGTGCACAGAGAGGGGTACACAGAGCTCATCCTTCACCTGCCTTGGCATTCACCCCCTGAGACCGTTTGTAACAGTGTCAGAACAGAACCCAATAAAATAAGGCAAGGAGAGAGCACCCACCACTGGGATTTCACTGGCACCTCCGGGATTACAGCAGGGCTGAGCAAGACATCGCTGTCACCGTAAGCATCACACCAGAGCCTCGGGCACCAGCTGCACTCAGGAGACAACGGGCTGCCCCCAGACTTGGGAAGTCCCTGTGCACAGCAAACCATCAGGATAATGCAGGGATGAGTTCTACTACAGTCCTACTAACTCTCTGGCTCTGCCCAGCTCACCTGGCACCAACAACCCAGACTAGGATATTCACCTCCCATGGGCTGCTCTGGGATGAGGCAGATTTTGCACAGACCCACGTGCCCCAGCTCCCTAACATCACTGCAGTAACAACCAGGAACAGAAGTTTTTCTGAGATTGTCCATGGGAATAGGAAAACCTGGATGGGTACACATCAGCCTGTGCCAGCTCAGGCACCATCAGTGACTTCAGTGAGCACCAGGTGTGATCAGGTTTCTGCCACACTGAGTTCCTCCCCTCACTGCATCCCTTGCCCAGGCTCTACCATTCCAGTTCACCCTTTCTCCCTCCTTATGGCTTTGTAAGGCAGGGATTACATCTGCTGAATTCATCTGTGGAGCTCCCAAGACAAACACTGCTCTAAGTGTTTCCTGAGGGCACAGACATCACATATCAGAATGACTGACTGTAAAAATATCATACAGAAACAATAATAATTAAAAAACAAATCAGTGCATAAGAATGCAGAGTAAAATAAATTAGTGCAGAGTCAGGAAAGCAACACACCCTTGAGTCACGTACTTGAAACATGCAGGAACTACAGCAAGCAGAAGTGTCAGGGCAGCTGGGGCAGCATCAAGGATGGTATGGCAATGCCAACAGTTCCTTTCCTCCATCTCCCCTGCACAAACTGGCTAACTCCTCCCTGGTGCACAGAGAGCAGTATGTATTTCAGAGGAGCAGGGGGGTCAGGATAGAGACTTCAAATCAAGCTAGTGACCCACGGACCAGCACACGGTACCCTGGGCACTGCTGGCTCCTCCTCCTCTGGAGGCAGCAGAATCTACACCATCAGGCTGAAAGGATGAATGACTAGCTTGGATTTAGAGGACTTTAACCTTAGTATACAGAGAACTTCAGATTCCTAAAGAAAAAAGGGAGGAGCACAGATTTCCTCTGAGCCCTGCTGCAATCTCACTGACTGTCCTAGCAGCCACCACAGACTGACTCAGCCCTGGTGACCTCCTTTAACACTCCATAAGGCTAATGCCAAGTTTAACAGGGTTAATTCTGCCTTTCATGACCAGGGCTCCCAAAAAGACAAGGAAATCAGCACAGCCTGTGCTTTCCATCTCCTTCCAGGCAAGGGACACTGCGGAAGGTCACATTAGCCTGTCCTGGGAGGCCACACGGAACCAGCTGGGCACAAAATCCAAACTAGTCCCTTGCCCATCACCGAGTGAACCAAAACAACACAGCCAGGGTCTCAGAGCACAGTCCCAGCCTGGCTAAAGCCACCATCTCTGTCACAGCTGGAGAGGGTGCGACAAGGCAGGGGATCCGCGAGAGAGACAGATGTCACAAGCAATCAACCGCTCCTCCGTCTCCAAGGCGGAAACACTGACAGCCCTACAGGCCTTGGAGGAGTTAAAAGGAAAGGCTTATTAGAAAGAAAACTCATTCTGACAATCACAAAAATTGGAATTCATTTAAAATTCAAATTATGCAAATTCCAGTAATCTGTACGTGCAGATCCATCACACACCAGAGTGGGACTGCAGACACATGCCACCAGCTACATGGCTGGAGCAAATCCACCCTGCACAGTGCCCTGGGAGGAAGACAGGTGTGCTGGCAGACATGGGAAGGGTGGCTGCTCCAGGAGAATGGGGCCAGGCAGGATTTGCTCCCTCTGCACTGAAAGATGCCTTGGCAGCCCCAGAAGCATCCAGCAAATCATGCCCAGGGGTGCAGGGAGGCCAGACTCAACTGTTTTCACACAAGCTATAATAAATTCTCCCTTGGACAAGCTCAGATGCCCATGAGCAGCACAAAGTCTTCATCAGGCAGTGCCTAATCACATAGATGTGAGATGACCATAGGGTACTGGACGCATGTGGGCAACAGCCCTGCCCTGTCTCCATCCACCCTGCCAGGGGAGAGTCCTGGCTGCCTCCACAAAAGCCTCAGGAGCCTCTCCTCTCCCTTAGCAATTCCTAAAATCCTGGTTTTGGGGAATTTGAAAAAGAAGCTAAGCAGCTGCATTGCACAGAAAGGCAGCTCAGCCTGTCAGCATGGAAAGAGCAAAGCCAGAAATCTAACATTACAGACAGGGGAAGTGCAACAGCCTGGAAAAACGAATCCAGCTTTAAACATGGACTTTCCTAAAAGATCCCAGATGAGCCACAGGGAAAAAACAAATCATGCTCTCTTCTGTACATGCTCTGCCATGCATGAAGAGTGTGAATCCCACCTGACACCAATTCCTCCAACGTGCAGGGCTGGGCAGAGCAGGTGTCACACAGGGCTCAACACCAACCCAGGGGAAGCTGCAACACCTCCAGCATGGAGATAGAAAGTAACTACCCAGCCTTGGGAGGATGTGGAGCCTGGAATTGTTCTTGGAAATAACTTCCCCAGGGTGGCAGGACCTTTACTTTAGACTTACAAACCAGGCTCTAGAGCTGTGTGGAGAATGCTGGTCCCAGAGTGATCCAAGCCTCAGTAAGAGCTACTAGACCAGATCCCTGCACACTCACTGCCCAAGCCTCCACTGAAGTGCTCTGTGGATGCCCTTTCCAGGTAGGTTGAGTCCACTTTTCTCAGCAGGACTCACAAGGTCAGAAGAGCCTGTGGCCAAGCCTACAGCAACAACATCTTTTACCTATTAGAACAAACCAGAAATGATGCAGCAAGGGGAAAAAAAACCCAAACCCACGTCCTACAAAAATCCTGCCAACGCAGGATGTCCCTGATAGACAGTCAGCTCTGTGGATACACCAAGGAAAAGCAAAGGTCTCCAAAAGCCTCATGAAGCCAAAGACCAAATCAAATTGGCCACAAGCAGCAGAGAGGTGCTGGCATGGCAGTGAGTGGGCAGGGGGCTGCCCCACAGGGAAGGATAGAGCCCACTTCTCTACAGGCACCAGAATACTGTTTGTGCTGAGAGTTCAAGTGCTTCCACACCCTGTGTGCCCATTTGCACCGCAGAAGGGAGGCTGTGAGGGCAGGTCCCATGGAGATATTGAAAAACCACCCCTGAAAGAAGAACAATCCCCAATGTCTCAGTGCCCTCCCATCCCTCGTGCTCTCCTGGGCACAGCTTGGTGCATCAGATCCATGCTGACAGACAAAGCAGGCACACATGCCTTACCCCACAGCAGGGACGTCTCATCTTAAACACCTCCAACATCTTTCAGCTGCTCATCGGGTGCCCCATCTTGCTTCTCTCATCTCCATCCCTGAGCTTTCACCTGTTTCCCGAGCCCAAGGCAGCAATTCCCACAAAGATGGTTCACTGACAGTGCCAGGATCATGACCAAGTCCCCCAGACTCACTCCCACAGCACCCACTGCTGCCACTGACACGCTGCAGAGTTAGAACTGTCCTCTCAGGGAGTGGTTACATCCAGAAATCCATCCGAGCACAAGCAGGGAGGGTGAGCCCCAGACCCACACAGTCCAGCAGTGATGCAGCCCAGGACAGCAGGAGCAGCCTCAGTCTATGTGACCCAGTGTGGGGGACCAGCCCCTCCTCTGGGTTAGGGGAAAGTCAGCAAATTCAGGTGGTCTCAGATGTGTGTGAAGCCTGCAGCACGGTGCATCAGCCAGCAGCACCTCGGGGTGCACAGGCACCCACTCCCTGCTCTGCTCCCACTGAACCGATGCTCTCACCTGCTGCCAATCAACACCAAGTGCTTTTCAGCACAGGACACCTGAGCCCTCATTACAACCCCGAGCCGGTAACGAGGCAGAGGGAAGGCCATACAAACCCTGGTATCAAGTGTCTCTGGGAAAGAGAAGAGGCAAAGCCCATTAAACATTGATTAGAGGCTCCCACAGCTGTGGTGCAGCTCTGACGTGTTCCTGCTGTCCTGACACCAGGATGCTCGAAAGAGCCAGGAAGAGTTGAGCTGCCTCAGGGCAAAGCCTTGAGAAGAGCCAGCTCCTCATGTACATGAGGCTGAAAACAGGAAAACTTGTTTCCTACTTTGAGCCTCATTCCATGCTTTGGACAGCAGTGCTCACAGACCAGCCCCACACTTCACCCAGCTGTGCGCCAGTGAGCAGGGAAGCAGGGAGGGAGCCAGGAACATCACTGGGAGAGGGGCTTTGCCACACTGTGGGCAAACTCAAGCTGCCACTGCCAGCTGCTCCACCATGCCAGATCAGCCTTTTACTGTTGTTTTGGTGATGTTAGGCATAAAAATAGCTCTGTGACCTGTAGGTGCTCCTGGGAAGCTGTGTGTGTGCAATCAGGGGTGCCAGGCACCCAGGTACTCACAAATTGCCGCCGCAGCTTGGTCTTGACACGCTCAGCCTTGGTCTCAGCTGGGTGCACAGCATAGCTGAGGGACCCCAGGTGGTTGTCCACCGAGAGGCTCTTCCTCATGTAGAAGGAGCGGGTGCGGAAGTAGCTGAACGGGGCGTCCTCCACCGCTGTGCCGAGCTGGGGGTCTCTGGGGGGGTCTGTGCAGTCATCCTCCAGCCTCCAGGCCTCCCCTGGGGAGCAGAAGGAGATGCCACTTCATCAGAGCCACGGTCCAGACCATGTCCTAGCCCTCCAGCATGCTGGTAGTGGACAGCCCAGATGCCCTCTGCCCATCCCATACCCACAGACAAGCCATGGGTTATCGGTGCTGTGGAACTCAGTGCCCAGACTGGGTCAGAGTGTGTGCGCTGTGTGCTCCCAGCCCCTGCTCCCAACCTGCTCAGCCTCATGTACCCACAGCCTCCAACATCTTCTTGACAGGAATGGGCCAAATAGAGTTAGAATCATGGAATGGTTTGTGTTGGAAGGGACCTTAAAGGTCTTCTCATTCCACCCCCTGCCATGGGAAGGGACACCTTCCACTAGACCAGGTTATTCCAAGCCCTGTCCAACCTGACCTTGAAATCTTGCATTGTGAACAGGAAAACTGAGGCACCACAAATGTTACAAATTCCAACAAGATTTATTGCCATCCCCTCCCACATAAAACCCTTTATGGCACAGCCAGAAGCAAATCAACAGCCACATCAAGGCCAGAAGCCAGGCCAGACCTCCTGTTTCCTCCAGCCCACTGCCAGCAGCACCAGGATGCAGCACTGCAGGCCCTGAGAGCCTGGGGACAAACCTCACCACACTGTGACAGCAGTGGCAGAGGACAGTCAGCATCACACAGGGCTGGAGATCCCAGGGCAGGACCAACCACATTTCATTGCAACAAAAGAAAAAGACAACAAAACAACAGGAAAAGTCTCCAGAATATCACAGCTCTGCTCTTTTCCCAGCAGCTGCCTGCTTTTTGTGGCCAATCTCCTCTTTACATCTGGAGCTTGCCCTGCCTCCCCCCCTCAGCCAAAATCACTGCTCACACCATGACAAACAAACAGAAAAAGCATCTTGCACAATTCTTGGAAAAGTGATCAATTATTGGCCCAAAAGGGCACTTCACAGAATTGTCTTCAGAGGCTCTTCCCCTCCTGCAGCCTCTTCCCAAGCAAGATCTTTTGTCTGGCTTCTGAAAAACCCAGCACCTTTGAGCACAAATGACCATGATCCCACTATGCCAGAGCTGAGAAGCAAAACACTTCCAGAGTTTAAAGTAGATAACAGCCCTAATGTTAAATCAGCCACAATTCAGTGAGTGCAGCCCAGCATACCCAGCAAGGCTGTGGGATTTACATGAAATATGATGAACTACAACAGAAACAACCACCTACTCAGACTGCCAGAGGGCAGGTTAGACTGGATATTGGGAAGAAATTCTTCCCTGTGAAGGTGGTGAGGCAATGGCACAGGTTGCCCAGAGAAGTTGTGGCTGCCCCATCCCTGGAAGTGTTCAAGACCAGGCTTGGAGGAAGTTGATCCAGTGGAAAGTGTCCCTGCTCATGGCTTGGAATGATATGAGCTTCAAGAACCTTTCCAACCCAAACCATTCTGTGATTCCATCAAAGAGGCAACCCGGAGCACAGCACTCGGAGCATTGTGTCGTTTTCTTTCCTCCCCTACTTTCAACTTAATAAGCTGCTGCTGCTCCTCTCCAAATGTCACCTCACACAACACAGGAACTGCTGTTTGAAAGCTGTGATTATTCAATGCGCAAACACGTCAATCGGAGGCAGATCCAGACTGCCACGGGGAGATAGCATCGCTCCGGGGAAAGGCAGGAAACGCTGCCACACCAGCTCCAAGCTGGGAGGAGACACACTCAGCAAGCAGGGAAACCACACACAGAAGGAAGAACCAGCCCCAGTGCCCTTCTGCTCACCTGCAATAGCCCAGCCACTGTCTGTGCCACTCTGTCCCCAAGACTGTCCCCTCCCAGCCCCACAGCACACCTGGACACAGCCACCACTGCTCTGCCACCCTGGCAGAGGGAGGACCAAGGCAGTGTGCTAAACATGTGAAAGGACAGCCACTGTACCATCTCCTCTGTGCTGGACACCTCTCCCAAGGGATGGGGAGCCACAGCTTCTCTGGGCAACCTGTTCCATCTTCCGTTGTGCCTGATTACCTGCAGCCCAGCTCTTATTTGTAAATTCTTGTGGGAATCCTGCATTCCTCATCAGCATCCAGGGGCTTGTTAACCTGCAGTGCCACATTCTGCCCTACTCTCTTCCTCTTCTCCAGATGTCACAGCCTGCTAGCAGTGCCATCCCCTCTTCTTCACCTCCATGACAGCATGCTGATAGCCTCTACAAGTAGCTAATTAGCAGCTCCTAATTGAGCATCAAGGAGCCAGGAAAACAGCCCAGGAGGATCTGGACAGAAAACAACTCCTCACTCATTCATCCAAGGCTCTGGCTGTGGAGGGAACTTTCCAACCTACAAGGGGTTTCCTACTCCTCCTCCAGCCAAGATCCTGAACACTTGTTACACGCACCCAAGGCTCTTCCTCACACTCCCACTGTGCAAGGAGTGTTGTACACAGGGTTTGCTTTGTGGTGGTGATAACAAGAATCGAATAGTCAAAGCAAAGAGTAGGATAGAGGATAGTCAGGTAGAGAGCACCTGAATAAATAAGAAGAGAAAGGTTGATTAATAAGGAATTGTCTTAGTTTATTCAGCATGAAAAGGGTAGAACTTAGGGCATTATTTTAACTTAGGTAGCGTAAAACAAGGAAGAAAAACTAGATGCAGCTGGACTCATGACCTAGCAATATGTGCCAAACTCAAAGGTCAAACCGATGAAGACCATTGGCCTTCCTCCCGACGACCCCCGGACGACCACCTGAGACCGTGGGACTAATGCCAAGTGGGAGGAGATGAAGGAGGAGATAATGATAATGATTTCCAAGAACTAATTGTAATAATGACCACCTATTCCTGGAAATAATGAATATGTATGAGTTCTTTAATGTATATAAACTGTGAAGTTTTTGTCTCTGGTTGCGCAAGTTTGGTGGAGCGATCCCCCTTGTGCCCAGCGCTGAATAAACAAATACCTGCTACCTCTGAGATACAAGGCTGGGGGTAGTTCTTTTTCAGCCTTTTCTCGGCATCAGTGGCTGTTCCACAGTGCCTGTCTGCTCTCAGGAGAGGAGGTGTTTCCAGCAGAAGGTGATGAGTTTGCAGTGGGTCTGACTCACGGAGGAGGATGTCATCCCATGGTCTTACACCAGCCTCCCACTCCCTCCCCTCCACCTCTAGCACAGCTCCCTGGAAGCACCAACACACCAGCTGAGGACCTGCAAGTGTGGAATAGTGCTCAGGAAGCAGTGCCCTTTGTGGTGGATGCGACACAAGCTTTCCTACAGGTATTCCTCCCATATCAAGACCCACTCCAACAATTTGAAGGGCTAAAAGGAAACCCACATAGAGCAGAGCACTCACTTGGGTGCTACAACACACCCAGGAGCTCTGCCACAACCAGCAGTGCAGGACAGGCTCAGTGATGTGCCAAGACCCATTCTGTGCACGACTTCGGGGAGAATTAGCAGCACCAGGAAAGGAAATGCAGCCTGCAAAGCATTAAAATTAATCCAGGGTTTGGGCAGCTGTTCTGCTGGGTAAGACAGGGATCTGACTGTGAGAGGGTTAGATTTAAAACAACATAAAAATAAAAAAATCCAAGGGTGCTGTTTGCAGGGAGTTGTTTTATGAGGATTTTATTCAGCACTGGATCGTCAGCCCTGGCTTGCAGGCCTTATCTTTGTTTCAGTGCTAATAATCCCTTTTCCCATCATTTTTATAGTCCCAGTGTGATTCTGCTGGCACCAAAAGCAGTGAAACATTTTGGCCATCAGCAATTTTGCTCATAAACTTGTTCAGAGCAGCTGGCCCAACCATATTAGTATTTCATCAGGATCAGCACGAGAGTAGAAGAACACGATAAAAACCCTCAGAGCTGACCTGAAGGCCAATACACACTGCCAGGCTGGGGAGTGTTTGCAAATCCCCAAGGCCAGGATCGTGGGAAGAGCACAGTGGTGCTGCTAGGAGTGCCCTGAAGCCACTTTGTGCCAAAGAAGAGAGGCACTTGGGTGTGTTGCAGAGGCCAAAGAGCCCCTGAGGCAGCAGCTTATGTGGGGCCAGGAGAGGCAAATCACCCAGAGGCACAAGGCTCCAAGCATCACCTCCCTGCACTGGGTTACTTTAACGAGCCAACACTTCTTTTTCACCAGCATAACATGAAAGATAGAGAGGCTGAAGTAACAGACTCAAAGACTCAGACAAGAACAAAAGTACCCCAAACCTCACAAAGAAGAGCTGGTTTTGGAACAGGATAAACCCCATACAGACTAGAGTTGGATTCGTTATTTGTGCCCCTGGTGAAGCAGGAAAGTTTTGCTGGGATTTCACGAAGCTCACCCTGGTGCTGCAGCACTCACCAGCAGAAGGGACTGTGCAGCCTTTCTGGGAGTCAGATCCCGAGTGTTTCTTGTAGGGTTTCTGCTCTGGCATCTCCTCTCTGTACGCCGTGGAGTCGAGGAGGGGAAGTCTGCTCAGGACTGGGGACTGAGGGATGCTGGGCAGTGTCCGGGACTTGCCCAGCACTGGTCGCTGTGGCTTTCTGTCCAGGGACCTGCAAGGGAGAGAACAAGGGCACAGACCTTTCAGTAGGTGGAATGGATGCCTCAGGCAAGGACCCTTCTGTGACACACTCACATTGCCTCTGGGCTGAGAGCACAGCCCATAAAATCATGGAATTGTTTTGGTTGGAAAAGCCCTCTAAGACCATCAAGTCCTACCATCAACACAGCATCACCATGTTCACCACTAAACATGTCCCCAACTGCCACATCAACATGGCTCTTGAAGTCCTCCAGAGATGGTGACTCCATCCCTGCCCTGGGCAGCCTGTGCCAGGGCTCAACAATCCTTTCCCTAAAGAAATTTCCCCCAATATTCAATTTAAACCTTCCATGGCACAGCTTGAGGCTATTTCTTCTTGTCCTGTCCCTTGTTCCCTGGGAGCAGAGCCTGACCCCACGTGGCTGCTCCTCCTGGCAGGGAGTTGTAGAAGGTCCCCCATGAGCCTCTTCTCCAGGCTGAGCCCCCACAGATCCCTCAGCCACTCCTCATCAGACAGTAAAAACCCCACTGAGCATCATCCGAGAAGGCAGAAAGTGTTTTGTGGTAGAAACCAGGTCCCAGAGACAGGCACTAGGGAAGGTCAAGGCTCCAGCAAGGCAGACTCAACACAGCTGGGACTGCAGAGGTCTCACAGGTGTCATGAAACATGCAGAAACAAATTCAAGGTCTCTGTGGAGTCAAAACTCAGCAGAGTTTGACAAAAGGGCTCCAAATCTGCATGGGGGATCAGGATGCACAACCACAAGCTGGCAGTACAACCATTTTCCACAGCCTCCTCCAAAACCCCAGAGCAAGCCAAGCCCTGCAGTGGGGCATGGGAGCAGGTCCCCCTTCTCCTGCTTCATCCCAGAGCCTTTCCCAAGGGATGGTCCTCAGGTGTCATCTTTGGGATCTTTGCCATCTTTGGTACAGGCCATGCTGCAAGGATCCCAGAAATGGGATAAAAAGGAATACAGCCCAGCACTGGAGGCATGTAGGGATCACCCTGTGCTGAGGGCTACAGGCTGGGGTCACCCCAAAGCTGTCCCCTATCCCCCACTGTCACAGAACACAGCTGAACCTAAACAAACTCCCCAGCACACCCCAAGGGGATGGTCCCAAATCACTGAACCACAGAATGGTTTGGGTTGAAAGAAACCTTAAAGATCATCTGGTTCCAACCCCCCCACCCCCGGCACAGACAAACCTCATACTGAATGGTATGAATCCTTCAAATTTCCATCCAAAATTCAATTCTTAGCTGGTCTATGCTCATTTGTTCTTGTGTCAATATTAACCTTTAGCTTAAATAATTATCCCCCTCTCTCCGGTGTTGCTCCCATGGCTAATTTCCATTACAATGCAGTCTCAGCCCCTTTCTGCCAGCATTTTTCAAGGCTGATTAAGGCAAGTTCTTTTAGTCTTCCTTCACAAAATGAGCTTTCGTTCCCCAAGCATGTTTCCACACCCCTCACTGCACTCCCTCTATCTTAGACTCAGCATCCTCCACCTGTCCTGGAGGAGGACATAGATCCTCATAGAATCCTAGGATGGTTTGGGTTGGAAAGAACCTTAAAGCCCCCCTCGTTTCCCCCCCTGCCATGGGCAGGGACACCTTCCACTAGCCCAGGTTGCTCCAAGCCCCATCCAACCTGGTCTTGAACACTTCCAGGGATGGGGCAGCCACAGCTTCTCTGGGCAATCTGTACCAGTGCCTCACAGGAAAGGATTTCTTCCTAAAATCCTATTTAAACCTACCCGTTTTCAGGTTGAAGTAATTCCCCTTTGTCCTGTCACTTGTCCCAAGTCAATCTTCAGCTCTCTTGGAGTCCCTTTAGGCACTGGAAAGGGTTTTAAGGTCTCCCTGGAGCCTTCTCCAGGCTGAACACCCCTAGCTCTCCCAACCTGGCTCCAGATCAGAGAGGCTCCAGCCCTGTAATCACACAGAGCTGAGCTCCTGGTGCAGACAGCAGGGCAACCCTTCTGCCTCCCTGCATCTTCCAGCACTAAATTTTGTCCTGTTTCACTATCTAGTCCTCAAGGTCACACAGGCAGAATCTATCATCCACAGCTCCTGACCCTCAGCACCTGACTGTCACTGCAACATTTATCACAACCATTTTTCACTGCTGTTACAAACATGACAGCAGCTCCCAAGTGCTGGTGGCATGTGGTGCCACTTTGAGGTGAGCAGTGACCCAGGGACAGGGCAGAACACTGGTGCCATGCAGCCATCTCCCATGGGATGGTCACAGCAACACACTGGGCACACAGCTTGGGCAGTCCCAGCACCCACTGGTGTGTCCCCTGGAGCAGAAATAGGAAGCACATTTCCACCTTAGGACCAAAATGTTATCAACAGAAATTAATCCCATTCACTCAATTCCCAGGTGATGCTGCTCTGCTGCACAGAGCTGTCACTGAGTACTGTGGGGATAGGGCAGGGACAGCACTGCCACAGTCCTGGAGAGGCAATGCCCCAGTTGTGCCAGGTGCTCAGCACCATCCTGCCCACCCCAAGCCCCACTCTTCACTGGGATCAGCATGAAAACAGGCTGTGCCAGGAATACAAAGCCAGAATTAGCATCCCGAGCCATTTCTCTTTCAGCAGAACATTTGTACCTCTCATTGTAACACATTTTGCTGGCACAAGGCAACAGGGATGGAGCTTAACACATCGCTGTGCTGCATAAATGAGTCCTGAGTCCAAAACATTCCTTTTTTCTTGCATGTAAATCCCAGGATACCTGCATACAGCTCCATCACCTGCAGAACCTCATTAGCATCTAAGTGCTCTCATCCCTTTGTGCCCAGAGAGCCACTCACAGGAGTCACATGGGGAGAAAAAAAGGAAGAATTCACACTGTTAGAGGAGCAATTTTTAAGTCGTATATCTGCAGACAGTGATTTATATTAGCAGAAAAAAAGCAAAGCAACTAGAAACCTGTTTAAATTTGAAATATGAACTTGAATTCCCAAGCACAATCCAGCTCCATGGATCTATCCTGTGTGTGGTGGCTGAGCCCCAGCTGGCACATAAGTACCACACAGCCCCTCACTCATCCTGACCCCACACAGGATGGAGAATTGGGAAAAGATAAAACCCATGGGTAGAGACAAGAACAATTTAACAACTGCAATACACTAAAATTCAATTATAATAACTGTAATGAAAAAGGAGATAAGGAAAAGAAAGAGTGGAATCAAATACCAAATGGAAAAGTGATGCCTAGTACAGTCTCTCACCACCTGCTGACCGATGCCCAGTCTGTTCCCAAGCAGCAATCAGCCCCTCACAGACAACACCCCCAGTTTATATACTGGGCATGACATTCCATGGTCTGAAATATCTCTCCAGCCAGGGCAGGTCATCTGTCCTGGCCATGATCCCTCCCAGTTTCTTGTTGCCTCCTCACTGGCAGAGCATGGGAAATGCAAGTGCCCTTGACTTAGAGTGAACACTGCTCAGCAACAACCGAACCATCAGTCCGTTATCAACATTGTTCTCATCCTAAATCCAAAACACAGCCCTGCACCAGCTACTGGGAAAAACAATAACTCTATCTCAGTCAAACCCAGGACTCCGTGCACAGCTCCAGAGGCCTCAGCAGCAACTGTCAGCTGGGACCTGATGCCACTGGGAAGTCACATTGCATCTATGTCTGCTTCCCAAGCAGGCTTCCCAGCTGGGTGCTATCAAGGATGCCACATCCCATTAGTAAAGATCCCTGATGGAGTGTAAAGCTCAATTAGAAAAGCCATAATCAACACTGTTACAGCCTATATTTAGCTGCCATTCGGCGTTTGGGTAAGGAGGAGAGCAGATAATCAAGTCATGACAAGGGTGGAAAAATCCTTCTGGCTGAGTGTGAGAGCTCAGGCAGGAGCCCAGTGACAGCTCCATCACTCCCAGTCCACAGGCAGATGGGGAATGTGGGAGTATCAGCAGGGCCAGGTCCCTGCCACCAGCCCTAAGGACAGCTGCAGGACACAAACTGGCTGTGCCAGGCAGGGTGTAAGCTGGGCTGGCTGCTCCAACACCCCATTCTGGCCACAGCCCCTGACACCCAGGGGACACAGGCACTGCTTTCCCAGGCTCTATGGAAAGCCAAGAGGATAATATGAAGACCCACTGGGACAAAAAAGAGTGAAAAGAAAAGAGGCAGAACACAGCACCAAAGCTGTGCGGTGTCCAGTGCCCTCCCCATGGTGATGTCCTTACCAGATGGTGTCTCTATCACCAGGGAGCAAGAGGAGAAGGGCTGAGATAAAGGGATGGGAGGGATAGTGAACAGGTTAATGCAGTTAAACCAGGGAAACCCAGATCCTACATCCCTCCTGCAAGCTGGAAACAAACTGCACATGCACCTCCAACCTCCCGGCTGGTTTCCACGTGGGAGAAGTTGCTCTCTGGAGGGCACTGCCCAGCCCATCCCAGGAGGACAGAGTCTGCAGCTTGCCCAGGGAAGGATGAAGGAGTTACCACACCAACCCCATCAGAAATCCAGCAGCACAACAGAGGGAGGGGAAACCCTACACCCACCACTCACAATCCCAAAAGGACCCCAATAAGCCTCATTGACTGACATTATTTCCCCAGGAACTGAGCAAGAAAACCTCCTGCACATCTCCTGGAAATGCCTAAGGATAGTGACCCTCCAGAGGTGTCCCATTCCTGGGAAGAGGGAAGCACACAGCACACAGTCCCAGCAACTCTCAGGCAAACCCAAGCACCCACCGTGCTAGTCCAGCTCCCCCCAGCCTTCCTAGATCAGACAGAGGATGGCAGGGATGGGGCCAGGAGAGCCTGGTTATTGCAGAGGGACACCACTCACAGATCTTCCCAGTCAGTGGCTGCTCCTGCCTGTAACACACTGCTCAGTACTGCTCCTCCAAGGAGGTGTAACTTAGCAACCTGACCTTAAAAACTCGGCAAAGGTTCCAGCTGGATTCAGGAAAATGAGAGATGCTACAAGCCAGGAGGAGACATGACCCACCACAACCCCCTCT